CAGCAGGAATAAACTCTGCCACCATGACACAGGCTTCTTCAAAGCAGTGAACCCGTGCAGTGCTGGGATTCCAGTCCTTGAATTCTGCGTGGTTGGTCAAGCGAGGCAGCGTCAGTAGCAAGCAAAGTTTACTATAGTCTTCCTTAGAGGGACAATATTCTTCCAGTGCATGTAGGCATTGCACAGCCTCTCGCATTGTAAATTCCAGCTACAGAAATATTAACAGAGTAGTTTGTAGTACATATGTTTCTACAATACAAGTTAGCTGAAGAAGAACAGGCAGTAGCAGAATTTCTCCGCTATCGTTCCTTTATTACTACTACCGTTTATATTTTAATTAAAACAGTATACAATATAGAGTCCGAAATTGCTCATGCAAATGTAGTTACAACAGAGCCACATTTCTGGATGCTTTGACTTCCTGAAATTGCCCCCAGTCCCATTTTCTACAGATCTATGGAACTTTTTCATGTCACTGCAGGTTTGAGAGGCTTAAAGTTTTAAACCTGTATCTAAACAGCTTCAATTCTACTGTAGCACAGAAGGTTACTTCCATTCTCACAGCCAGCTGAAGTTTTTTTCCCTTTTTTAATGTCTGTGAAAAGCTATTGGAGTAAGTTATAAAAGGCTTGTAGATTTCTCTAGTTTCCAGTGATTAGCAACTTTGAGTTGTCTTTTATATTGAGATTTTCTGTTCTTTAATCAAAAATGTTAGAAAAAAAGTTCAAAAAGTTCTCAGAAGACCTCCAAATTAATCGAGGGCTAAAAGCCAAGAACCACGTGAAATACACATAACTTGGTATTTTTAGTCACAAAGATTTAAAAAAATAACCCTCCACTTACGCATGTTACCTAGCATCTGCTCAATACAGCAGCCTTTCATCCACAACATTTGGTAACATTCAAAAAAAAAAGTAAAGGACATAAATCTGAATTTTTTTTCCTTTACTGCTATCTAGTAACAGTATACAGATTGAGTGATTAGAGGAATACTACACCTTTCCTTTACAACTATAAATAAAGACTTTTAGCTTTCTCTACGCTGTCAAGAGAAGACCCTGCAGTACAATGTATGTATAACAGGACAGAGAATTAAAACCAATTCAGTTTGGAAAATGAATCAATTGTCTTAAAACTACTGGCATCCTTCATTTTTAAATTCAATACATTTTTGTTAGAAATCTGGTATTCCTGTATTACCAACATAAATGAAAAACTATTAATTAATTTCACAATCTGCAAGCTTTCTTTGTCAGTTTAAGTTTTCAATATGGAAAGAGACGTTAAGTTCACAACTCCTGCTCTTTACATATTGAACTGAATCAGTCCTTTGTGAACACATCTGTTCCCTCCAAAGAAACAACTGTGTCCTTTCTCTCTAAAAGCAAAGGAAATTAAGTTTAATCTTAATTCAAATTGTAATCTTTCGCCTGGTCCTAATTATGACAATAAATTTCCATGATTCTGAGGCTTGCTTCAGAACTCTCTTAAAAAAAAAAAAAAAAAAGCCCTGTACTTTAGCATAATGGCATAAAGTAGGTCTCAGGATCACGACCACAAACACAGCATATGGTCACTGATCTATGCTGCTAAGTTTCAAGCAACCCTTGTATACACTATTCTATTTGAGACCTGGGAGCCACTGATTTCCAAAGGACAAATTATTTTTTCCATTGTTTGGAAAACATGGTTGGAAAAAATGGTTCCATGAAACCATTTGGTAATAGCTAAAATCACCAAAAGGCTTCTGCTCAGCCTTTAATCAGAGTATCTCAAGAGGCTTCCCGACAACAAAAAAATTCCCAAAACAGAGGCAATTCTTACATGCTGAGGCTCATCTTCTGCTGACATTGCATTGTTTACACATAAGGCTTCCAAGAACTTCTGCTTCATTATAATGTAACGAAATCTGCAGGTGAGAAGTGAAATACTATACATCTTGATCCAGTAGTTAAACATTCTTTTATAGACAAGCAGGGTATTTTACAGCTAATTTTTGATTTTGGAATAGAAATTGCAATGACAAGGAACTCTGATCTCAAATTTTAACAACTTGGTAACCACAAAATTGTATTTTACCAGGAAATGTCTTTTTCAATAATTGCTTTCAGAAATATTACATTTAAAATATTAGGAGGCTAATAAAAAAAAGTATAGCAATCATACTCATTTCTTCAACAGAAATATGACAGAGCAGCCAAATATAAAAACATGCACCGTATTCTTAAAGGGTATGGCAAATGAAAACTCATTACAGATTGCACGCACATATTTTTCATAGTTTAAGTTAAAAAAACACATGCACACGCTTTAGGAGCTGTATACAGGTTAGAAAAAAACAAAAACTAAAGTAAAAAACTTAGAACTACTGCTTTCATACACAATACTTGGAGATGCAAGCATTTTCCACAACTCAAAAGATTGAACTTTGACATACATTCTATTTTACCTTTTCTTGTCGAATTTTTCCATACATTCAAGAGGCTGAATAAATTGAAGAACCTCATCCCACTGACCATCAAGAATCAATTGCCTAGTAAAAGAAGAGTCTCTTCTTTAATTTCATTGGACAAGAACATCCTCCTCCTTTCTAAGTAAGGAGCTCATTTAAAAACACAACAGTCATTTAAATATACGACAGGTGATCAGCCTGCTTTGAAAAGTTAATGCTTTGTACTGATGCCAACATGACTGTCTGGTGTGACTAGTAATAAGAGCAAAATCCAAGTCCTTTCTCAATATTTTGTAAAAATAACTGCATACAAGAAGGACAAATATTAGTTACTTCTAAACGCACTTCAAAAAGGACAAAATGGTCCTGTGTCTCCTGCTTTACCTGTAATTCTTATTTAAAGAAAATCTCATTTGAAGAGTGCCAATAAATATATTGATTCAATGAATACATCCTGAAGAATGAAAGCAACTTAAAAATGAGTTAATTTTAATTGTATAAATACTGCTGGGCCTATTTTATAAGGCAGGGGGGCAGGAACACACAACTCCCAAGAACGTAAGAGGAACAGCTTGGCAGGAGCTATGCCAGCACAAGAGCTCGAACTCCAAGACCAGTGGGCTAGACTGCACAGGTGGATTAGTTCAATTTCTTCATGCCCTCATGTCACACACAGAGTTCTCTACAAAAGGCCCAGATCCACAAGGAAGGGGTGAGTTTCTCATTATATGCATACTCCAACTAAGCTAAGAATGAAACAAATAGGATTAACTTTAATCTTCCTCTAATTCTTCTTTCATTTTATTCCAATAACCATAATTTTAAACAAAAGGGAAGCCAGGTGAGAAATCTTGTTCAGTGATAAAATATAACTTTTAATGTTTTAAGAACAGCTGGATAAGTTACTTTCTCATGCTTCTACAAAGTTATTAAAGTACCATTGGCACAAAATGGAAAACAGCAATGCTAAAAAACCAGCGTGCATCTACAGTGACTCCTTTTAACAACTTTGAAGGCAATATCATGAATGGTAAATCACACCAACTCTCACGCCTTGATGATAGTGGAGACCCCTTTCATATTGTTAACTTTAAGAGAGATCTAGGTATTATTTTGAAATGCAGATAATATTTGGGGGGAAAAGCTTTGGAAACCACTCCACTCATCCTGGATCTTAGCACCAGAATATCATTAAAACATTTTATTTGTTTTAGAAGTCAATGAACTACATATTCAGTTCCATGTGACATGATAAGCAGATAATAACATATCACTGCTGCCAACAGAAGATCTTGCTCTCCCATCCTACTCCTGCTCATGTGCTTTCCCTGACCCTGGACTGACACTGGCACTTGTTAAGACTCCTTCCCACTTAAATTCATTAGAATGCCAGAAAAATAATCGAGTTAAAATGAATGAACAAGCAAACAAAAAAATCTAATTCTAAACCTATGTTGACGATGCCTTGTCAGTTACTTCAAGTGACACATACAAGGAGGTGACTAACTTCAGAGCTGGACCAAAGAATTGGGATCAGAAAGAAGCAGAATATGATGAAGGCATAAGACCTCCTGTTTAATGGCGTGGGGCTGCCCACAGAATCACAGCCCAACTGTATGTTTTCATATATGTGGTATTTAAGCATCAGAGAAAGAAGTCCTACCTTAGAAAAAGCATGTCATCTGAAAACAGGCCATTAATGACCCCGCTTTCTTTCTCAAGTGCCAGCATACTGATATGAAGTTTCCTTGAGTTCAGAAAATCTAGTATTAGTTTAATTATTTCAGCTTCTTTTACATTCACTGTTTCTTCAGCCGTCATGATGGCAGCCTAAAAGGGAAAATAAAAGAGAATTTTAGCTATGATCAATATCTTATTTTATGCTTGGTTAACAAATGTTGGCTACTAAAAAACCTAAACATACAGTTTTACAAGACAGAATACTGTAGCATTACAAAAATTAAATAGACAAGATTGGGAAACTGATTTTAAGAGGTTGATTATGAAGCCACAATTAAGACCTAACAATGTATCTGCATCTTTTTTCTTTCTGTCCTATGCATATATAAAGGTCCAGATAAACAAATCTACCAAGAAATCAATCCTCCTGCAGTGTGAATATATTGTGCTCACCAAGTCTGCAATATGTAGAATTTTTCTTTCTGAAATGCAAATAGTGAAGTTCAAAGAGCATAAAAATGAGCCAGTTACTATGTCATTATCTAGAGATCTTACATATAAACTCAAATGTTTCTAACACATACAAAAAGCACTACACACTAAAAATGCAGTCTCCCCCTACCCCATTTTTTCAGTTGTGTATGGCAATTAAGCCAAGGCTTTTCATTCTTCCTTCATAAGGACACCTATATCTGTCTATATGCTTTATGAACAATCTAAAGCTGCAAACCCAAGGTGGCCTACGCTAGTTTGACCACTGACTGCCAGAGTCCCATTCACTCACCTGCCTCCAGCTGCATGTTCCTGGCCCTTCCTTAGCACTCCTCATTTTTGTCATTGGGTTAGCTTTTCCACCAACTCATGTGTTGAAGTGGCTCAACAGTCTAATGAGCTCTCCAGCCAGCAGGAAGGAAAAGTGGGAAGATGCAGCTGGGGCAGTAACAGGCCAAGGCCCTGGCTCCCAGCAGTCAGCTTGTTTAAAGCTCCCACAGATACAACATCCAAGCTCCTTTGCAACACAATTCCTCCAAGGACATGAGAGTTGTAGCACGTACTTCTCTTAAGTAACCTAAAATAAATTCTGCTTCTGGCTACGTCTTGCATGGTTTCTTAAGTCTGACTTAAAGTAGAAGCTGTTCAACTTTTTTTTAAAAAAAAAAAACAAACCAACTAAGACGACTTCACAGCTGTAGCTCCCAAGTTGGTCTGCTGAAAACTATCTGGGGATGTGGTGAGAAACCCTGTAACACAGCCAAGCCACGTAGCATTGCCTCATCGGGAGCTTTTCAGAAAAAGCTAGTGGCTACAACAGTGTTATTTCACATCAGGAGAAACTTGATTTAAGCCCATGTTAAGTGCAGAAAGGGGTGGTCCCTCTTCTCACCTCTGCACTCAGCCACATGTCCCCAGCCACTTCATGGCACTCACAATGGAGCTGTATGGTCAGGCAGACCACTCCTCTGATCCAGGCACAAGTTAAACACTTATGCACTCCGTGGACACAAGCGCACTAATGCTTATACAAGGAACTGGCAGAGCTTTGCTTTCTGGCAGTAGCAAAGTCTTAACCTGACTTAAATTGATTATGAGAGTACACCAAAGAACAGAGAAGCAGCCAGTATCAGTGATGAACCATCAGCAGGAGGCAATATCCCCAGACACAAGAAGAGACAGTGGAGTAACAGTGATCAGAAAAATGAGTAAAGGGAGATGACCATATAGAGCAAGATGTCCACAGCAATAGGTTACAGTTACCCCAGCTGCTCCCCCTTTTAATTCGAAAGGGGAAATCAAAATACTTCTTAATTCCCTCATGCAACCATTTGCTTATGCAGAAATCTAGCAGCTACAATGCTGAAAGACAACCAGCTGTGGGTAATGCAGCTCCCAAGGCAAGCTGAAGAGATGATACAGCCTCCAGATACCTCGACCTTGGAAAACTGGAGTCCATAAGCTAGTTATCCATCTCACATTAGGAAAGATGCACAGAAACTGGTAATAAGAAATCAAAGAACAGATAGAATAAGTTTGAATAACCCAGATAAGACACTCAAAGTATTAACAAGAAATCAATTATTTACCCAGGAAGAGGGGAAGAGACAAATACTCCAGTGAAATTTCTCACTGATCACCATAAACCAATGCTAATGAACTTGAAGGGATAGAAAAAATTAGGCATTAATAAGAGGGGTTTTTTGTACTGCATCATCTAAATCCTCAAGTTTTCCATCTTCCTCACAGTTGTATGCCAACTTTTTTCCAAGTAAGTTTTTGCCAGAATATTTGACTAGGAAAGCATTCAATTATAGCAGCATAGTTTATTTTGGAACAACAGAGACCTAATCATACCAGATGAAATGGCCTAACTTCTTTTAAAAAATGGCTGGGTTTCATTCCAATTTTAGTCACAGAAGACTCTAATCACCAAGTATTTTGATGGGTCTCATGAAGGACACACCCAGAGACCACGTGCCCACTCTTGGCTAGTAAAGTCAAAGGAAAAATCTAAAATCTGGCTTGCAGAAAGCTTTGCTGCAGGAAAGAAAGCAGATAGACACACAAATCCAAAGGCAGAACTTGTAGAAAGATGCTTTTTCCTTATGTTTCAGCACTGCTTCAACTTCCCCTTTTGGCAACTGGATATGGATTTTTGGTCCCAGAGAAAAATTCAACCCTACTCTTACACACTGAAGGAAAAAAATCAACACAAATTTAAACAAAAGTTTAGTATTAACATCTTAATTCCCAACCTCACCTAATGCATTTGCATTTCTCTTTTATTATGCTTTATGGCACTGGTGGTTTTTATATAAATTAAATTAACTTCCTTGCCAAAGGACAAAGTAAAACTTAGGCAAAGCTATTGTGAGACTCCCCATCAGAAAAACCTACTAGAAAAATTCAGACTAAGACTCCCTTTTAAGAAAGGAACACCAAGTCCAGCTTTCTTTTCAGCTGGATCTACTGGACTCAAGTCTAAAGAGGAAGCCACCCTACCCAGCTTCAAGACTGTCTTAAAATTAATTATTGATGTATTCCATTAATGGAAAAAGGAGCATAATACTCAGTACTTTGCTTAAGAGTACAACTATGTTAAGCAAAATCTAGCATCTGCAAGACATTGTCTTCCATTTTTCATTGTAGTTTTAAAGTAATAGGTTTGTCCTGAACATAAAGACTTTGCCAATTCTAACACTTAACTTCATTCACTTTATTTATGTTGGCAATATGAATTAGGATAAAGGATGATCGGCACCCTCCATATTCAATATGAGACTAGTAACAGCACTTTTGGGGTCCTGTTAAGAAAAATATAATGCAATATCCAAACTATGTTTGGATACTGAACTCCTGAAGAAGAGTCAAAGTACACTGATAAGCTCATACATTAATAACACCATAAAAATATTTAGCATGTATTTGCTGTCAGAGCAACACAAATAGCTAGGAAAGAATGGTAAACCTACTAGAGAAGATTTTCACTTAATTGATGGATTTTAGGCTGATGAGCTCAGACTTCTCTTACAAGCATTATGCTGTCAAAAATAATAAGCAGCACTGTAACACTATCATGAAATTATAAATATACATATGCTTACACATCACCCCCTATGAAACGTATCAGTTTTTCTGACATTCAGTGTGCGTGTGTGGGGTGTATGTGTACAAATAAAAATAATAATAATTAAAAAGCAAAGAACAGCAGGGAAACTCAAGATTAGAGCTCAAGCTGCATCTTTGGTCCATCCCACTATATTGCTTTCTGCCAGCACATATGCCACATAACGTCACAATCTGATCAGCTCAAGCACTAATACTCAAGAATGATTGAACCACAGCATTAGCTTGAGGTATAAATGAAAGTAAATGAGTATTAGAGCTTAAAATTTCAGGTGCCTTCTACCAACCAAGTTTTTGCTACAACCTTTTTATCTTACCCAGTCTTTTCAGAATAGCACTCTTCCACACCTGTCCTTCTTCCTTCTTTCTCATGCCCTCTCCCCCTTATCATCTTCCCCTAGATGTATTTAAATAATTAAATTTTTTTCCTCCTAATAAATGTACATCAAGGAAAAAAGTCAACTGCTTGCCATAAACCTGGCACATCTTTTCTCTGTAGCTTCAATGGACAAGATGTCTTTTAAACAAGCTCTTTGGAACACAGACTACCTACTCCTAAATTTTCCAGAGAGAGGTTTTACTCTTGTTCTGTTCTTACTCATGTTCTAAGAACATGCCAACAGCAAGAATCCTCTCATGGTGTTATAAGCATAGAAAACAACTCTTTGGAAAAAAAAATACACTTACGGATATAAATATACTATTTCAGGAAAACGTTTATAAACTAGAAGTGTCTAAAAATAGTGTCTAAATAGCCTTTAAGTTACCTCCCTTAGAAGAAATTTAAAATGCATATGCATTCACATGATAGAAAGTTAAAGTAAGATATAATATTCTGGAAAACAAATAAATAGTGAAATTCTAAAATAAGCGTTATTCCTATGTTATTTATCATCTGAAATAGATCATTCACCAATAGCGTACAATAAGCATTCACAAAATTGGGTAAGGAATATAAAATCTGTAACTACTCAAATGCTACTATAGTTCAAATCTTAAGTGTCATACTGAGAGAGCAGTGATACGTTTAAAGGGAGAAGCAATGCCTAATTTGAAGTCAGCGAACCAAGACTTCTATGACAGCTGCAATGCATATCCATAACCTCAGCGTCTTGGTGAGCTATGTCACATAAAAAACGAATGTGACAAAGTAATACATATTTAAATAGCTGGCTGTTTTGCATGAAGCTATTTCAGCTTTCAATCCATCCCACAATCACTTACATAGGACTCTTGGGCCTGCCCGGAGGCCACTTCGGAGTTCCGCCTACAGAGACCCCACGGGGTGCTCAGGGCCTGGTCAGTACCTAGTGGTTCCATTTCTGATGTGCCCCCAATCATCTTCCAGTTATTCTATATCAAAAGAATTTACAAAAAAAAAAAAAAGTCCATAGGCCAAATTTTTTATTACAATTGATTCCCACAACAGTTAGTGCAACTCACTGACACCCATTTTACCCTAGGAGATTGCACGATTCATTATTTCAAGTGAACTATATCGAACATATTAAGGTCTTAAT